GTGAGATGTAAACATCTCTTTACGGAAGGCAGGAGGGAAATTTACAGTGGCGAGTGAACGAACTGACGAAGACGTGTTGACGGGATCGCTCACGGTTGACAACTGCAGGCCAGGTGTGTCTGACGAGGATTGTAAAGGACAGCGGCTAAAAGCATTGGCATACTTGTGTTTCTTGCCGGATTTGTAGGTAACGTCAAAGTCCTGTTCTTGAAGATTAAGTATCCAGTGACCTAGACGTCCAGACATATTCTCTAATGTCAACAATTAGCACTAAGCGTGGTGGTCAGTTACGACGGTGAAGTGGGGGCAGTGGAGATAACGTCGAAATTTCTTGGTGGCGCAGACAACAGCAAGAGACTCCTGCCTGGTGATGGTGTAGTTTTTCTCGGCTGCTGTGAGGGTACGACTTGTGTGTGTGATCACATGTTCGCCAAAACGCTCTGTTCGTTGCAAAAGTGCGGCGCTAAGTCCATGTCCGCTGGCATCAAAACGGAGGAGAGTGGGTGCGGTCTTATCAAAGTGGCAAAGCACTGGCTCAGATGTGAGGGCACGTTTCAAGGTGTCAAGAGCCACTTGGCACTTGTCCGACCATATGTATGACGTTCCCAAAAAAAGGGGTTGGTGAAGTGTTGCAGGAATAATGGTGAAGCCTTGTATAAAGCACCAGAAGTAGAAGGCAAGGCCAAGAAAGCTTCGGAGCTCTTTGGAGCGATGAAGCAGCGGGAAGTGAAGAACGGTGGTTATCTTGTTGGGATCAGGACGAGTGCCATCTTTGCTGACAAAATGTCCCAGTACTTTAATACTTTTGCTTACAATGTGGCACTTTTTGATGTTCAGCTGGAAATCGGCAGCTGCGAGACACGTCAGAACTCTTGTCCAAAAATATTTGGGTGCCCTTTCACAGCACCATTTTTAATGTGCACTGAAATGATGGTAGTTCCTTAATGATGGAAGTTTCTTAATGGTAGTTCCTTAATTAATGATGTGGCAGTGGCAGCTGCACAGCGTAAACAAACTTTCACGTGTGAAGCCAATCGCCAACAGTTTCGTGGGCAGTCGCCGCAGACAGGCCCCTGCTCATGACACCGCTTTGTTTCCAAGCATGGTATATGCATATGAGCACACTGCATATCCTACCAATGAAGTCATCAGTGAATAGAAGACTCCATGCTACTATGGCATGTTGAGTTGTCGCAGACAAATGGTTGCTCACGTAGCACTTTTTTCCGATTCACTACTGCCCTCCTATGCTTTCCTCGTCTCCATTCTCTGTCATTTCACTAATTCACCCCTGTTCTCATAGGTCATACGCTTCGTTGCGTCACTGCCACGTAATGCATGAATTGAACGGCTAACTAAAGGGGTATTCAGAGAAAAATTTTGGCCTTGGCATTTTTTTGCTTCAATGGGTTGCTGGGGGCCTGTTAGTCATAACACGGCATATTGTTTAATGCAGTGCACGAAAGATAAATGATAACAGGCTCCTCATTTTCGACCATCTGTGTTTTGTTTGAAAGAGCTCCAAAAACAAGCCACTGCATGCAACTATCACCACCTAGCATGTGCAATGCTTGGCCGAGTCAGCACATGAATTGTGGTGCTTTTTTGCATGGTCCACATCAAGAAATCATTTTGAACAGGAAATGAGAAAGCAGCGTCGCCAAACACAAAACTTTAAACGCGTGCACCGCAGCCTTGGACTCGTAAGCAGCTGCCAAATAGTAACTGCTGGCACAAACACGGCAAAAGAGTAATGGTGACTATGTCATCATAACTTGGGAAATGATTTAAACTCTAACCAAAAGTTTTGAAGAAACCTGATGTTTCGGAACTAACTTGGTTCTTTCCTCAGGGGAAACTGGGACTACGTAGCAGCGGCGCCTTCAAAGCACTTGCAGGGCGGTTAATGATTACCCTCTCTCTCTCTCTCTCGTTTTGCCGTGGAGCGCAGTCCATGTGTGTATGCTGGTGGAAGGGTTCCAAGAGAGCGGTTGATACACTGGTGAAAGGGTTTCGAGATAGCGGTTGATGTCGACCGCTATCTCGGAACTCTTTCACCAGTGTATACACATTGACTGCGCTCCACGGCAAAACGAGAGAGAGAGAGAGAGAGGGTAATCATTAACCGCCCTGCAAGTGCTTTGAAGGCACCGCTGCTACGTAGTCCCAGTTTCCCCTGAGGAAGATACCAAGTCTGTTTCGAAACGTCTAGTTTCTTCAAAACTTTTGGTTGGAGTTTATATTATTTCCCAGTTTTCATACACAACCAGACAGACATCTGTCGGAATGTTTACATTCAAGTCATCATAACTTGTATCAGCTGCAGCGTGGTGATGTGAGAGAAGTAGGGGGGTCACCATCAAGTCGTTTACGAGGGTGTCAATGCAACAAAGTATGGTGTACAGCGCTTGATCGGGCATGTAATTTTCAAATTTGTATAAAATACCTTCCAAGCTATACTAGCTGTTGATATTTCGCAGCTGATGGCATGTTCACAGGGTACTCCCACAGGCTATCTCGCTCAAAGAAATTTCGTGTTAGTACCCCTTTAAGGGCAGAACTCTAAATGTGCTCTGTGCAAGTGACATACCAAAACTAAGAAGTTTTAACTAAAGCTGCTGACTGTGCTTCCGAAACTTCATGATTTGCTCGCATGCAGTGTGTGTGTGTGTGTGCATGTGTGTATGCATGCATGTACGCACGCGCACGCTTAGACATATTGACTTATTGACTGTTCATGGACAGTAGATGTTCAGAGTGGCTCGCCGTACTGGCTAAAGTTCATTCCATATTCAATACATACCAAAGCTAGAAAATTAGAAGCTTGATTACTCTGAATGTAAAAGTATTCAACGATCATATAGTCAACACAAGGAATAGCAACAAAATAAAAACTAAATTTGAAGCACTCATTGCAAATTTGGACCACTTGAGAAGATCACTACTCAGAAAAGGTAGAACCGCAGAACATTGCCTAGCTAACAGGAGAAGAGTCCCAGCTGCTGCATTAAAATTTTGAACATTTATGAATGTTAGGAAGTCAAACTGATCAAGACTACACTTATTTATACAGTTGACGCCACTAATAACAAAATACTCAGGTGCCCAGAAAATTTGAATCTTGTAACCCATAATTGCTGTGAATGGGTTTCATGAAAAAAGCAAAATGGTGGGACAGCTGGCTGTTCTGAGAAATTTATAATGTCGGGTTGGTTTATGGATGTAGGTTTCTGCAAATACTGAGCACTCTGAATATTCAAATGAATATTAACATATTCATATTTGCTTCTAATTTAAATTATTGGTAATCTCAAATTATTCAAAATCAACAAAAGGTCTACACGTAATTTTCCATAAAGGTGGTCGTGCTGCAGTGGAGGGGTGCCCTACCATCAGGAAACCTTTTCAGGGAAAGTTCACACTGCCGCGATGCCCAACTTCGAGGTTAAATGAACACTTTATCCTCACATCGAGTCTTCTTTTTTTGAAGTCTAAAAGCTTGTTAGACTGGCTTATATGCTCTATGTATAGTAAATTTAGAACATAACATATTTTACAGGTTGTCGTTTGCATTCGACCAAAAGTCAACTTGTGTTACTATTCAAAGTTCCTTTTACTTCCCTTGAATCAAAAAGAATGACATTTGCACATGTCTTGTTTCAATATAAAAAAATATTGTGCTGGTTAGTTGGGTCATGACAAATAAGCGAATATGTTTTTATAATATGTGATATATACTATTTGAAAGTATTTGAACCAAGTCGTTATTCGCTTCGAATTCGCTTTGAACCGAAAATTCACTATTCGCACAAGCCTAGTATATGGCAACCGACATCAGTGCTAGGAATGATAAAGCTGCCGTTTTTTCGGACATGCTTCAAAACTTGGACGCTTTCACTGGACCGCCACAAGCCCCAGAGAGGCAATGTACGACAGTGTTTCGGACGCAGAAACTCTTTAAAGTCTCAACACTTAATTCAAATTGCACGTCTAAACGTTCATTAACAGAAGCTACCGCCGCTCCTGTGCCGTAGATGTCAAAAGTTAGCGTTACCGCAATGTCAGATCGCTATGCGGTGAAGAATACCATGAATCTGAAGGGGCATTTTGGGACGTTGGGGTTGCGGGCGGTGATTCAGCAGCTATAAGTTCCCATTTTCTTCTTTATTTTTAAAAATTTTGCGTTCCATTGCCTTTTAGCATGGACACCCAATAGATAACAATTTATTGTTATGACCAACTATGTGGCATGCATGCATTGCTGTAAGCAGATTATTTCACCATATAAAACATACAAAAGTTGATGGTGCAGCAGCTTTTCATTGTTATAACTGATATATTGTTAAAACCGGCATTGTTATAAGTGGGTTAGACTAATTTATTTTCTGTGTCTATAGTGCTATAAAACTGTCCACTGTTCTTTCGGAAGCATTGTACTCGCACAACGTATATTGCACTACGAGTGTGTGCTCTAAAGCTTCTCACTCGCTACTAAGTTCTCGGCCACAATTCTTTGTCATCAGCCATAGCATCAACAAAGTGCACTTAATTTCTTACAGACATGCCTTTGGTGCCTCACGTTTAAACAGAATGAGGAATAATGGCATAGCAGGCGCTTTTCTATGTAACAAAAGTTATTTGTGGCATAGCGGGTACTGTACAAATGTACTTGTATTAATTACGCCATGGTAGTACTCTAGAAAGGCCACTCTTGCAGCTTTCGCTGCTACTGTGCTGCACATCCTCCACAAGCCTGGCGTTTTTTCATTTACACTTTTGTATGGTTCACACTACCCAAAACACAAAGAATCATTTTTCTTTTCCTTTCACTGTTGTGTGCTCATAGGCATTGCTTACCAAATATGAAAATGTCAGGACGACTTTATTTGGCTCATTTTCGATGGGAGCTTTGTGAAGAGCTGTACAGCAGCTTGAACATTGTTATGTTTTGTTCTTATGCTTAACGCATTTGAATTGTTCTTTCTTGTCTTCCATTTCAGGATCCGTTCTGTCGTAAACCTCTGAAGCAGCAACAGCAAAAGGGGTCACATTCGTCGAGGTTTTCCAATATAATACTGAATGCAGGAAATTATAATCACTGTGGCGCAGCGCACCAGACTACTCCGTGTCGCAGCTAAAAATAGGCAGAAGCCACACCCTGTTATGTTGTATTCGGTCCTTTGTTAATTGTGTATTATTGTGCTTGACTGGATTTTTGTCCATCCAGTGCATGGTCCTTGCTTTAACAGTCTTATTTACTATGTGGGAATAAGGAGACCTCTTCAGTTACATGAGACAGACTCAAACAAATAAATAAATAAACATTTTATTTTCTTCAATATGTTGTGAAGAGATGACTTCTATGATGATATTGCTGCAAACCATATCAGCATTTGCAACACAGCATCTTTAAGTACTTTGCCATAAATATGTGAATAAATACTATACACACGGTCATGTCATTGTGGGTGACCTGTAGGAAATACTATACCTATAGAAAATTTGCATTTATTAGAACTAGTTACACCTTCCATTTCAGCCTTCTAATGCAGATCATTTAGCAGTGTAAATGTTATTTCAATGCTTAATAAAACACCGCACATATTTGGGTAGATGTTGGTGTAATCTGGTAGAACTGCCGAGGTTTTACACTTTCTTACAAAACAAGCAGTGCACGTAGATCCTTGAGTCATCTTTTATATTAATGTCAAAGCATGTCAATGCAGCACTGTTGTACTGATCACCTTTTATGGGTCACTAGGTCAATGTATTTGCATAGCTACACCACCAGAATATCTTTGATGAATGAAGCAGCTGCGATTGTAGTGCGGTGATGACTGGGTACTAGTATCTGCATGACAACACTCCATAGTTTATGAAGGCCAGATATAGCAGGTTCAAGTGTTGTGAAGAGATGACTAAGCTAGTTTTACAATTCAGTATATTGCAGTGCAGTTAAAACTTGATCTAATACAGAAATTTTTCCCAGCTAGTGCCCACAGGGTTCATTGTTGTTAGTATCAACCAGAATTAGGGAACTAATTTGGTCACCAAACCCAATTTATAACGGAACTTTTTTTTTAAATTGCTGAGTGTAAAAGCAGTGATTTGCTCCTAAATTTAAGAGAGATGGGTTTATCTTTGAGCGTGCACTCTAATGCTATCTCATTAAAACACCTAGGCGCCCCAGCATTACCTTGACGAGGCTGCACCCCAGGCCCATACACAGAACAACAGACTCTAGAGTCAGTAGTGCTCTTACGTACTGGGTGATGCTAGTGGGGATAGTGGTTGTTTTGGTTGCTTCATGATTTATGCAACAAATAGCCCTCATTATCTCCTTGCACCACTCTTATCGGCCTGCTTGCACAGACACTCCTATCCTCCTCCGTGCCATGAGGAATTGGTAGCCTGTCTTAGTTTTATGTGACCATCTACGTGGCTTGTGTTGCCGGACATAGTGTCCCCTATGTCTGGGCCACTCCCTCATGCACTTTTCAAATGCTCAGGCATAGGTTATCAGTAAAAACAATGCCTTTGGTAGCTTCTGGGTGTCGCTGCATTAGATTGCTGAATCTCGAAGGACCAAAATGATTATTTCTCAATTTTAAGAAATGCCTAGTTTAATCAAATAATTTTAGCATGGTGATCACTTTGTTAAATCGAGTTTCAACTGTATATCGATGTTACATCTGAATGAATAGGTTTACTGTCGAGACAAATGTGAACAAACGTTGCATCATAGATACAAAACATGTTCTCTCCGTGTATACTTCATGTATGTAATGCTTTCTCTTCAGCTGGACAGTATGCGCAGGTGTAGTACCAGTGACGGATCCAGAGGGGGCGATAGGGAAGAGATCCCCCCTCCCCCAAAGCCTGTGTCATCACCCCCCCCCCCCTTCCTCTCCAGTCCTTGCTGTCTACCTCCTATAACCGATTAGGACGAATGAGTGGGACTACTGTGAGCATAAATTAGCAGTATATATGCTATCATAAAGGTTTTTGTGCTAGTAAAAACTAAAAAAGCAACGACCCCACCCTCCTCTCTGGTGTTACTTCAAGCGACCGCCCCCCTCCCTAAAATGAGTGACTGGATCCGCCCCTGTGTAGTGTGGCTGTTGCTCTGTAGCAATTGACAAAGAGCAGACCAAAAGGGAAGGCTAAAAGCACAACAACCGTAAATATGACCTGTTCTGAACACAGTGAAAAAATACTCAAGCATGCTGCACTTGAAAGTAATTTTGAGTTACACGTTGTGGTGTGTGTGCTGAATGTGGTGTGTGCTTTTGCCTTTGCTGGCAAGAGGTGCTGAAATAGTGTACAGTTGGTTCATGAGCGCATGTGACGAGTTCTGGATATGAGTGGGCTGATCTGTGATATATCGATGCACACAGCTCAGCTTTAACTATGTAGGCAACAGCATGATGCATATTTGGATGTGTACAAACTTATAAGGACCACTCTGTGTCAAAGTTGTGAGCCACGGCGATTCTTTTGCAGTTTAGCTTGGTAGAACTGTAACATCTGAAAATAGGAAGGCATTGCATTAAATGTTTCTATGGGACCAACTGTCAGAATTCCCTATTGACTAGTGGGAGCATTTGGCAGCAGGTTTGCACACGGGACTAGTGAGGCCGTCATGACTAGAGTATATTGTGACGGCAGGATAAATGGCCCTCATATGTCCTCTTCATGTAGCAGGTATCGTTGCAGCCGTGGTGGCAGCCTCAGCTCCCGCACGGCATCTGGACCCGCAGTTCGCCGCAGGATCACTGCACGGCACCTGCATGGCAGTGGTGCAGATATTGCATGCTAGCACACAATTTACTGGCACTGCAGCTTATTGAAGTGTTAGCATACGTGGTTTTTCAGTTAATTCAGAACAAATCTTGAAAGCATTCTTGTAATACAGTTAGAATATAGTCGGAAAACACTGCTGATCAAAGTCAAGATTCGTGCGAACATGTAAGCCAGTCTTATATACATTTTATACCACAGGGAACTTGCAATTTTGTTTCAAAAAACGCTAAAGATTGCTTGCTCTTCTCATGCCAAACTACACAGGCTGATGATGAAGTTGTAGGGACAAATGGGCCTTAGCTGAATTTATGACTGTGAATTCATTTCACAATTGAAGCAATAGTGCTCTCACCCTCTCGCTTGTGTTATATTCAGGATGTGTATATCTGAGATGCACCATGTGCAAATTAACTTTTTTGTTTTGATCTAAACTGCGAGTCTGACACACTTATTTTTGTGTTTCCATTATGTCCAGTTCCCCTTCTACATAAACCTTAATCCCTCGAAAAATGTGGAAGCTATGATTCTGCTTGTGGTATAGTATCTAGCGTTTGTTTCAGTCGTTACTGCAACCTGCTAGTTAGAGTTTATTGGTGCAAAAGTGATCTACTTAGCCTATACTGCACCAACCATAGGGCACTTTATGATGAAGACTGGACCTGACATTGCTCACATACACGTTTGTTCTCCCAGGGCAGATCAGCGATGATGGTTGCTATATGCAAATTTGAGCGATTAAATACATGACTTGGACTTCTATTATACGTAGTTGTCAGTTGCATTTTGTGAATTTCTGCACATTAGTCGCATATTGCCTTGTCGAGTTCTTTCTTGCACACTCCCAGAACGAGTGCTCTTGGGAAAGAATGCTGTCTGCTACTTGTGCCGGCCGAGGCAAAACGCGGTGAAAAAGCGCACTAGATCATGTACCAGCGAGCAAGACAAACTCACCGGTCCTGCAGGCCGGCGTAGTCCCTTCGCGTGTTGGCCAAACACATCTCGGTCTTGGCCGCGGTTGACGAGACTGCCGGGTAGAGGGGCTCACGCACGCGGTGCAGTTCGCGGAAGGCGACACCTAGACACACGCCGTCTTTGTAGTACGTGAGCGTGCCGCGTCGCCCGTCGAACAGCAGACCCAGCACAGTCGGCTCGTTCTCCCGGAATGGCCGCGTGAAGGATCGCCAGCGGCCGTCGTGCCACAGCAAGCCCTGTGCCCAGAGGCATATCAAAATAAGGTTTAGCAGAACCTGCACGCTGTTGGAAGAATTAGTTAAAATTGCTCAAATATGAAGAAATCTTAGTGCGAAAACACACTCACATGCGATTCCCTGGGTCGAGGGAGGAGTATTTTGAGCGGACGCGTGAAAAGCGCAGGTGTGCGCGCCGCGGGTTCGACTTATTACTGTACGTGGTTCCTTTAGGAGTCGTATGTCAGTTGCTACTAAATCCGATCGCACATACGTACGTCTTCAACTCGCGTTATATATATAGGGCTTAACGTCCCAAAAATCACCATATGATTATGAGAGACATCGTTGTGGAGGGCTCCTGTAATTTCGACCCCCTGAGATTCTTTAACGTGCACCCAAATCTGAGCACACGGGCCTACAACATGTTCGTCTCTATCGAAAATACAGCCGCCGCAGCCGGGATTCGATCCTGCGACCTGCGGGTTAAGAGTCGAGCTGTGTGTGTATGCGGTAGATAGAAACCACGGCCGCTCAATCTCCCCCCAAAGGGGGCTCGAGCGGCCGTGTACAAATTCGAAATTTCGGGGGGAGGTAATGAGATAATTAAAGCTTGTATGGAAAATGCTGTGGGCCCGTGTGCTCAGATTTGGCGCACGTTAAAGAACCTCAGGTGGTCGAAATTTCCGGAGACTCCACTACGGCGTCTCTCATAATCATATGGTGGTTTCGGGACGTTAAAACCCACATATCAATCATCGATCCGGTTCATATCGAAGGCCACGAGTGGGGAATTGCTCCCTGCGTCGTCTGCTAGCCACGTCGTGTGTGCATGTGCAAGTACGTCACGCCCGTTCTCAAAGGGTGGTTTGTTAGGTTATATTAGCGCGAGTTTAACTGCTTGTACGTATGCATGAAACGACTTACGAAAGCATTTCGGCTTTCTCGGCTGTTAGTACACTTAAATAAGATCAGCGGGTGCAACTTTCCAGAGTGCTGTGTATTGTCGTCGTGCTCTCCATTCGCCAGAATCATTTCAGTGTGGGTGTCGCTTTCTGCTTCAAGCCTATAGTAAAAACACTTGGGATTGTCCTAAACGTGAGCACGAATAAATGGTGTGTAAATGCAGCGTTCTAGACAATCGACCTTATAAACAACAAAAACAAGGCTCTGTACCATCTTTTGCATTGTTGTTACGTTGTATAACTATATCACTAATTGACTATAGTTTATCGATCAACCGATGAGTTTCGGCTCTATTCATCTGACCATAGTACCACTACAAAGAAATATTACTATCAAGTAAAGTGTGACACTTTGTTACTTAACTGTATTTAAAGTGGATCAAGTTGCCGTATGCAATTTCAATTGGCGCCAGATTTATGCACAAACACCCGTGAGCTTAGATTTAAGAACGCTTCATATACATCCCACACGTTTAGAATTAATTCACATGGCGTGCCTTACATTTATGTTGTTTAATTTCACGGACGATCTCTTTTTTTACATGGTCTTGAGCGTTTGTTTGCTATTGTCATTGACTTACGGAAGGCAGTCGTCATTTAAAAAAAACCTGCTTGTTTCATAAAATAGCGAGATATCTGCTATATCACTGTCACGCTCGTAGGCCATCGATGAAAGCTTTTTGCTGAACTCTCACAAGCTTCTTTATGCGTTTACTGCTGCAAGAGCATGCACATACGTGGTAAACGTACGTCAATGTAACGCAAAACGCCGTCAGCCACTAAGTTTTTCTGATTAGACTTATCGAGCTGTTACACATTTCATGAGGAACAGAGTGAGAATAAAAACGCCCCCACCTCTACGAAGGGAATCGCGAGAAAATTCGAATGCATTGCATAGCGTACATAACGGCGTTTCGCACGTGAGAACCCAGCGGTAGAAGAATAATGCTTTTTTTTTTACACCGTGCAGCCAGCAGCGCAGTTCGCCACACGTGGCGTTTTTCTGTCGCGAGAAACGCGGTATGCGTTCCCAGCTCTAGTAGCTAACACGAACGGTTAAAAAATACTGCTAAGTGAAAAAAAAAAACAGCGTTCTCGGCGTTGGCGTTTCACAGCGGCGTCTCGAGCACACGTTTCCGGTTGTTCTTGAGAGGCGCCCAGCCAGCGAACGGTCGAGAGTGAGGCGCGAGCGGACGGGAAAGTGGGGCGCAGGGAGGAGAGAGAGCGAACGGCGAGAGTAGGAGCGGCGAAGCCCTGCACCCACCCTCTCCTACACTCTCTCGCACCACATGCTCCGGTTGCTAGGAGCGAGCATAAGCGCGCGTCCGCAGCTGTTGCTATGGGAGAGGGAGTGAGAGCGGAAAGATAGAAACTGCACAACGCCGGATGCCTGACATAGCCAGACTAAGAAATGCCTGCGCATTTTTTTTAATGCGTATGTGTATTCGTGTGAACAGTGGTACTGAACTCATTGCACCGATATGCGGACTTTGTACGATATTTTTTTCTCGTTTTTCTTTGTATCTAAATAAGCGAGAAGTAAATAAGTTGTTCAGTCCCGCTACAGCAGCGCGTAGTAGGCGGAACACAAGCTGAACACGTACTAACAACGCAGCAAAAGCGTGATTTGGTGCGAAAGCGCGCAGACAGTCATCCAGGGCGAGCATCCTTTTAATAGGTCGAATGCGCTTTGCTCGCTAGTAACAGTAACGTTGCATGGGCTTTGTGCATTGATTCGGCAGAGTGGAGTGTAGATAATAGCAGTTTAACTGCATCCAACGCATTTTATTTGCCGACAATGATCTCAAACCGCACACAACGAAGCGTCGCTGCGCGTGTATTTGTACGTGTATATGCACCGCCGACCACCTATCCACACTACCGTGGAAACGGTCCGGCCACCTATAGCCCGATCTCGCCGCCATTGTCTCATATTACCACCCTGCGTCGGACCTGCAATTCGGTTTCCCACTCGCTCGACCGCTTTGTAGAGAACTTCGAAGCACGCAGCGCTGCAGGAAGAAGACATCAAGCCGCGCGGTATGCCGGATCTCAGCTTCAAGAGCATTTCTTTTTTATGTTATTGTTTTTTGTCGACTGCCGCATTATTCAAACACACTCCCCGTTCAAAAAAAAAAAAAAAGAGCCTGTGGGGTCCATACTTTGCTTAGAGAGTCGAGTTTTAATTCAATAAAGTTTTGGTATAACGAAGTAAATTGCCGATTTTGCCGACTTCTATATATAGAGGTTTAACTATATTAAATTATATTCCTTCGAAATTCATAACGATATCACGCCCAGGACATTTTTGAGCTAACATTACATACACGCTTCTGTCTATGTCGTGCCTTTAAAACTAAACTTGAGCCTGAAGCTCATGCGTACACCACAGTTTTTGTCTTTTCTTACAGCATTCATATGAAAAATTGCTGTTTTTCCAACGTTCCGCTTGTGCCAAATAGAAACTCCTAATTAGGCTACGGCTTAATATGCACGCACACGAGCGCCCGGGTATTTATATGCAAACTTTGGTGTTGATTTGTGACGCAAATTACGCAACGAACACTTGGCCATTGTTTCACGGCAGTTGTTAATACATAGTGTATAAAGCTTTACAAAGAAAGCTTAGGAAATTACACAGAAACACGCTCTGCTTAGAGCACAATATATGTGCGTGGAACATGCATGTCAAATAACGTCCGGTTGATGTCCTATAGACTGAAATGAAGTGTTCATCTCGCATAGAGATGAAGTCCAAAAAGGCTTCATCATGGATCTCTGTGGGGCATCTTCAGGTGTTTCACTTGGGGAGTTCCCTGCACTATGTGGGATATTTCTATACATTCATTCGGGAACGTCCATAAGCATCCATGGGATCATGGGCGTGCTCGAAGGGGGGCGCCCTCCCCCTCCATCTTTGTCACCTAAGAGGAGGAGGCGCAATGTCTGCCCCATACAATGCGACGATCTTTCGCCCCCCCCCCCCCCCCCTCCTCCCTTAAGGGTAGCCTTGCGCACGCATATGCTTGGGATATATGTATCGACAATCAGGCCAGGGAAAGCACAGGGGATATTATTGTTGCCTCACTGTAACGTACTAATTACGACATATTGAAATTAATTGAACGAATAAGACTCATTGCGTCGGTGAAGAAAAAAAAAGTCCCGTTCTTTCGAACGTACTGCAGCCCAGCATATGAGTTTACTGTCAATTTTTTAATGCCAGCGTTTTTAACGGATCATATAGAGTCCGTAGCTGCTCCCATAAGAAGGAGAACTCTCAAAAACGTAGTTAAATGTGATGGCAGAATTAATGTTTCATCGCGAATCACAAGCACTCACTTTTTCAAAGTGCACATTAAATCCATATTATAAGCGAACTGTGCTGTTTGGTGCGAAAATCTCGCGCGCGAAAGCAACCTGATGGGGCAACGATATTGTCGCGAGGTCCACCTGCGACGAATCTAACAATCCGCGTATATTTCGAGGACTGGACTTCTTTCTCGTCGGGCACACAGCTTGACCAGTTTGCTGTTTAGACGCAAAAATCGGTCTTTTTTTTTTTTTCAAACTTGACGCTGAAGCAGTCCAGCATCCATAAACTTGCTTTGACGTCACTGTGGTCGCCATCTTCGGGTACCAGCTAGTTGAGATGCTGCGTGATTTCTTGCTCGACCGCGTGGAGCAGGAAACTGTGGCATCAGATATCTCAGTGCCAGTGAGGCGGCTGGCGAACAGAAGGAAGCGGGGATAGCACAAAAGAATGCGAGGGGTGAACGGCTCTCTCTTGTTCCTTGCACTGGCGCTGTCAAATGCGATAAAAAGTCATGGTGGCCGCCATCTACTGGCCCCAGCGCAGAGAACCTGTCTGTGAACTCACGTGCAATTTACTACGAGAGTACTGCCACGATCTCTACGCGGCAGCTATGCTATAACTATACAGATATAACCATTCCGATATGCTGGGCCTGGTGGTGTGTTTACGCACTTGACAGCTGGAGCAGTAAATTTGTTTTTCGTTTGTTTTTCCTCCTTGTTTGAGGGATCGATTCAGATGAGGTTGGGGTTAGGTTACTGAGGCAGGTTGAGTGCCTTTGCTTCTAGCCCTTGGTAACAGTGAGGTTTCAGCTAACGTCATCCTTATGCAGTGTATACCCAGCATTCCCGCCTTCCACATAACCCCATGCATTGTTTTGTTTCATTTAACGCCTGCCGCGTGTCAGCCGTGAAAGTGTATCTGTTCTTTATTCTATACGCTATAACCCTTAATTAAGATCGCGTTCGAGCTGAAGTACTCTTTCTTGTTCTTGAGCAGTTGTTCCATGTTTTCCTTGGCTATCATTCAGTTGAGCCTCATAGAATGCCGCGTTTTTGGTTTCTGGAAAACCGGTTTATGTGCGATTATTGACTTATTGCACTTTCGAAACACTGCCGAAGCCTCTGTGCCACTTTTATTGTGACCATTTTATTTAAACAACCAATTCATGTGGCGTCGCCATAGTTCGTATATATCTTCAGAACATCATCGATGACGTCAGTAAAGCGGAAATACCTTGTGTGAGAGTCCCCATCCATGGCGATCTTGCCCGAGTAGGTCGACGAAGGCGTTGGCGTGCATCCGTGCCTGTGACGTGCACAAGCCCCACATCATGCTGGTGCCGAAGACGCGGTGCGAGACGCGAACTTCCCAGTAGCTGCGTCGGTCCCGCGCCAACGGACGCGCGCTCCGCACTCCCGCCGTGCCGCTGCTCCAACGGGGGTGGAACTGCGCCTGCACACGAGTAAGAAAATCCACCGTTTATCACTCCACCAGACTCGGATTGGACATGGCACCGATCCTAAGGAAGTGGGGCACACCTGAATACTTGGCACGTTTTTGGAAGGGCATGTCTGCAACGTGTTTCAAGCGATAAACTTTTCATGCCAGACGCACGATGGTATAAGAATAAAAATTAGGCACTTCGTGCGCACATTTTTGCATTCTTGTGTGTTGCATGGCGCCCCCTTTCACTCGATCAGTCGAATAGACGTTCGTATTAAGAGCGTCTCAAAAATGAGGCCAGCACGTTAAAGAACCCCAGGTGGTCTAAATTTCCGGAGCCCTCCACTACGGCGTCTCTCATAATCATATAGTGGTTTTGGGACGTTAAACCCCACATATCAATCAATCAAAATGAGGCCAGGAAGGTTATCACGAGGCTGTAAAGTGCATGACGCTCGCTACAACCAAAGCTATAGTGCTTTCGGTCACTCCCCTGACCTCGTGTCGACAATGCATGAGCTCCCGCAGGTCATGCGACTCAGGTTCACATGCAGGAAGTATCCGCATGCAGCCTCTGCTGCTCTAACACCTCTAACCTTCCTACGCCACCGCGCGTATGTGATCCAAAGCCTTTATGATCTAACAAAGAACTAGAAACTAAACTATTTGACAGAGCAGCCAGCCCACGGAAAGTGCCTCGAGAAATACACGTGATATGTAAGCGATGACAGCCACAGCAGGTACGTATGGTCGCTTCTGTCAGAGAGAGGAACTGTAAGCAACTGAAAGAGAAGTAAACTCCACCTCATGACATCACGCTCCCTGGATTTCGGGCCGACCGGTTGTGCCCCCGCGATCTCCGACGAAAGCGCAGCTCTGGTCGACTGACTCGCCCTACGCCATCTCCTGACGCCGACAAGAACTCTCGCTGAGTGGTGCTCCGTCCTCGGACTTCTGCGACCGTGTCCATCTTTTCTACCTTCTCCTTACTTCCGTATGTGGCTGTCCCTGCGCATCTCTCTCCTCCTGCTCCTCTCTCTATCTCTATACATTTAATTCATATATTTTTTAATCTCTCGTGAGCCACTGTTGAGGTGTCCTCCCCCTGAGAGACAGTTACGGGGCTCACTTTTATTTTCTTTTCACATAAGAATCACCTCCCCCTCCACCTCATGACCGGCAGTACTGCGAAACACTTTGAACCCACCGCTCCCAGTTTGCCAAAAGATGCTAAACATTACCGTATTGCATTTCGGGTTTGTAAAAAACACTCTTGTGAAAAAAAGTTACACCATATTCACGGAGTGAACGATGAATAATGGGGCGAAGCGGCCGTCCATCTGTCCATCCGCCTGCCTGCCCGCCTGCCTGCCCGCCTGCCTGCCTGCCTGTCTGTCTGTCATGTCTGTCTGTCTGTTTGTGGATATGCTGGGCTGTCTACACTGCCAGAAGGACGTGGGATTGCCCTGGACCACAAGGAGCTTCGCCCCTAAAACTCCCGTTTTGTAACACGACTCGTGTGTTTCCACCTGCGTCGCTGTATGATCAAGAGTCCGATTTTAACATGCCCTAGATCGAGGGCACTTGAGTGTTGTAGAATTCAGCCGTCCGACGCGCGTACTGGCATGTTCAGGCGTATTCCGACGCACGTACTGGAGTCACGGAAAAAGAAGCTCCGTGACTGGAGTCAAGCACGGACGGATGGCACGGGCGAAAGTAGAGTTACGTCACGCGCGCACCATGTCCACTAGGACGTTTTTCCTCCTTTTTTTTCGTCTAACGCGCGGCTTTTTAGTTTCAATAAAGTTTTCAACCAAATTAGCCAACTGTCATCATTTCGCGTTCATTTGTGTGTGTGGTATAATTTGATGGAACAAGAAACAGTGATGTCTAGCTGACTTTGAAAATTGTAAATTCCAACCCACGACAATGTTCAGCCCGCGAGTTCTCTGGAGCCTTGACCACAGATCGGCAGCGACCATGCTCGAAAAGAGTTGCAGGGCCCCTTTAACGTATATATAGCCCGGTCCAGGACCGTTTTCTTTTTTCATTTCTTCTTTGGCATAACGTTCCCATCAGAAAGCGGACTGTGCACGGTTCAGAATCCAACTCGTCTCTTTGTCTTCGGAAACAGCGCTGCATGCAGGCATGATTTTAAGAGCTATAATACCTGTTGGCATTTAACGCCTCAGAACAAGGATATGATTATAAGGAACACCGTAGTGGGCTCCAGCATTTCGCCTGCATCAGATATACAGTTTCAGCGTAAAAAGCTTGCGTCAGCGTGTTCGTCACCCTGAAAAAAATAGAACAACGCGATCCCAAACAACATATTTATGCATATCAGACCGGAAAGTTTTCCCGACTCGTCTGACATCCCCCGCGTGATGCCGCGTTGAACGCCACGTGGACGTGATGCTGATCGTCATGCGACTGCTGCAAAGCTTCTGAGTGTTGATGGACGTATCGCCTAACACGGAGTCGAGTACTGTTCTCCTCATGTTGCCGAGACAAATTCAAACAAAACGCCTAACAAAATACGTGCTGCGCTACGCGTGCATTCTGTTCGTTTTGGTTTCTCAAAGATTTCATTGACGATAGGATTTGGCCAGTATGGCCACGATGGGCCCTGTGCACAGATTTACACCAGCATTTCGCTGCTCTGTATATATGCGCAGTGCTATGCAAGTTCGGCTGATGTGATAACACTCAGATTAAGGCTGTCTAAGCCGTGACAGACCTGCTGAAACAACCGTGGCGATCTTGTCGGACAAATGGCTAGAAGTACAGAGAACAGTTTATAATGCTGTTTACGCTGAACTGTTTATGCAGCCACACAATGCAGAAAGCTCGAACACCACTAATTAGACCGCAACAAGATAGAGCTATATGCAGTCTTTGTCTGACGAGGCCCGTATTGCCGCAAGTGTATTGCTGCGCGCATGTGTCACTGGTGGCGACGGTGAAGAAGCACGAGTGGTTCTTTCGTTCCCTGGGATACAACTACACAGGAATGTTTTCTTCGTCCATGAGGAATTGAGCGTAGAGTTATAAAGAATGTCTGGTTAAGTTATGTCTGCTTCAAATTAAATACATTAACTTGCAAGTATAACTAGTATATTTTTTTAACAATAGCGCCTATGGTAGTGTTGCTGGAAAAATTAATCTACACTGTTGGGTACACTGTTGGGTACGAGCCACTTTCAGATGTCAAGAAGAAGCGAAGAAATGGAGAAGACGTTGGGTTTCTTCACGGTTGATAAAGCGTGTTTGTTATATACTTTTCATTCTCGTCTGTCCTGCGTCCTTGCCGTATGCGTCCTCATCGGAGAGCGAAGTACCCCCAAGCGTGAGTGTCCGGTTTCGGCACGCAATCACCGCCCCCGCACAATCGAATAAAGAGCATGCAAGACATTTACCTGCCGAGGTCCAAGCAGCACCACTTCAGGCGACTTGTGTGTGGTGCTCCAGGCCCAGTCCGGGTCCTCGACGCCCCAGTTCCACGGCTCGAGCCGGCCGTCGGCGTCGCCTTGGCTGTCGGTGTCCTCCATGTCCGCGCAATCGGAGCGCCACGGGACAAGTCGGCGCCTCGGCGTATAGCGGCGCTGCTCGCTGCGCGTACCGTTATGCGCGCGCCCCGCCTCGATATCGACCGTTGGCTCCCCATCTGCTGCTGGGCCGCGCTGGACCCCTCGACAGAGCGCCAGCTGTCTCTCGGCGGGAGAAGACGGGTCCCGCGCGTGCCACGTATTTACCCCTCCCTCCGGCCCCTATTTTATAACGGTGACCCCCCGCCACCATACTTCCGTGCCACGCGTAGTCTATCCCCATTTATCCCCTCCACCTTTCTTTATCGCGCTTTTTTTTTATTTAAGCGTGTTGCCGGAGCAGCCGGCGGCTTGCATCGACAGTGGTGCGCTCATAGCGCACAAACCGAAGCTCGTGGTTCGTTGTTGGTGCACGGATGTCTGCGGTGCTTCGCGCATGTACGCTGAGAGGCCAGCTGAAAACGAGAAGCCCCTTGGAACGGATGCGACCAAGAAAGCTGCGAACGTGATGCGGGCACAGGGTGTGCACGTGAAAGGCATCGCGTTACTGTACATTCGCTACGCGCGGCGCTTTGCTATAGCTTGTGTTTCTTGCCAGGAGCGTTTCGGTTTATCCTGAGCTTTTATATTCACTGTTGGCGCGCTACTATCGGCCAATATACAACATCAATTCTAACACGGCACGAACTGGGCTGTTGTGGTGTGTTCTCAACTATACTCATTTGCACAGGCGCGGGGGGGCGCAAAATATGCCTTATACATTGACTTAGTAGAATGGGGGGGCTCTGCAATGAGCTTTCACCCCTCCCCCTGGTGGGGTATCCTGCGCACCCCCATGCTCTTTACTGGCAAGCTTCGGGGCTCTCAGTACGGCATATACTTTGGTGTGGCGGGGGATGTATAGAGGAGGGCAGGAGGGTGTCGTTATTTTTGTATTTTTGACGGACGCCAACGGCACTGGTCGCTATCTCCACCGTTGTGCTTTTCTCCGCTGCCAAGTTTCGGTACGAGTTAGATTTTCGCACACTAAAGAGTGGCAGCCCACCGCTGGCCTTCATCACGACGCGGCATCATTTTTAACCGCGGTGACCTCATATGATATGCCCGCGTGGAGAGTGACTCAGTCTTACCAATATTATCAATTGGTTTCATTGGGCAACATCGCCGGAATCAAAGCCAAATATTCCCGCAGGTCGTGCGATCAACTCCCGGCTGCGGCGGCTGCATTTTCGATGGAGGCAAAAATGCTGCAGGCCCGTTTGCTAAGATTTGGGTCAGGTGGTCGAAATTTCAGGAACCCTTCACTACGTCGTCTCGCATAATCATATGGTGGTTTTGGGACGTCGAACCACACATATCTATCTATCTATCTATCTATCTATCTATCTATCTATCTATCTATCTATCTATCTATCTATCTATCTATCTATCTATCTATCTATCTATCTATCTATCTATCTATCTATCTATCTATCTGTCTGTCTGTCTATCTAGCCGCCCACGACCTTTAATTCTCCTGCATGGCCGCTTGGATTATGGGATCTATACCCAATTTGGTATTTCATAACATGACTGCATGACGAGCATAACTGACTAGTCCTAACAAGAAAATCATGACATGTATATCATCAATGTCATTATTTACATGTCATGGTGTTGCTGCTCCTGCTGTTGTTTCGTACACATGACATCGCCAAACTGGTATGGTATGACATGATTGCAATGCGAACGCAAGTGCCAGGCCCTCACGTGGAAATCATGACATGCGTGTCATGTAAGAACATGACTACATTGCACGCTCATGATGCGCTTCCGGTCGTTTCGCTAGCTTCACATACACCAAATTTGGTATTACGTGACGTGAATGGATGATGAAGGTATTTTCGGCTGGTGCAAACATGATAACCATGACAAGCGTGTCATGTAAGAGTATGACTACGTACCACGCTTACGATGTCCTCGTGGCTGTTTCGCTAGCTTCACATATACCAAATTTGGTGTTACGTGACGTGAGTGGACGCACACAAAAATGCCTGTCGCAAACATAATAATCATGACATGTAAACCATGTACGGCATAATTTACGTCTGTCTCGTAACGGTGCATATGAGCTGATTTTAAAGATACATATCAACCTTCGTCATTCGTGTTTAAAATACTTCGAATATAATTGATTCCCACTGTACATGGCACCTGGCAATTTTTTTCAGGTCCTTTTATTATTCGTTTCACCGACGCGTCGAGGTTTAATTACAATTACCTAGGAGTTCTGGTGAAGCATAACGTCCTTGTTGTAGCACCACGCATTCTTCATTATCGCTACAACCTCAGTCTTATAACATGTGACGGCACTCCGCACAAAGTAACTATCATCGCCCTCCGAGAGATGTTACCGAGTGGGCGTCCGACTTTCGTTGAATTGCACCCGGTATAGGCCATGGATGTATTGGCAATCGATCCAAACTTGAGCGCATACTTTTAACAAAACAAAACGAACACTATGTCATATCAGTGTGTGAACTGCGCCTTAAAAGAGCGTCTTCGGCTGGTCTAGCATCAAAGACGCTGGTAGTACAAGATTGTGCTGCTATGTATTCGTGCCGCGGGTTTCCCTACTGTAACGTTGTCGTTGTGAGCGGGTCATGATTGATAAGAGAACATGCACCCCATTGAGCACCACAGGAGCGCGTGAAGAAAGAAACCGGCCCTGCGACGGTGGTTTGCCATTCGCCCGGAAAGTGTTCAAAGCCACAGCCCGGTTCATGTTCTGCGTGGTTTTGCTCCCGCTGAAAAAAATCACCGCGGTAGCTCATTGGGCTGCTCAGGTCGCGGGGTCGATCCTATAGTGGCAGATTTGTACTCCAGAAACGCATTATGTGGTGAACGAAATAAGGGCTCGTTTTTTTTTATTTTTAGATGCGCCATGAATTAGAACTAACAGCCAAGGAAAGTAAATAGGGGATACTGGCTGGAGTAATTGCGGTGTAAATGAGAAGAAAATAGCGGGGACGAAAAGATGACTTGCCGCTGGCAGAGACCGAACCTGCGACCTTCGAATAACGCAGATTTGGTCTCGGCCAGCGGCAACTTATCTTTTCGTGCTTTTTACTTTTTTTCACATTCACACCATAATTACGACTAACAGCACCCTGCATATACTTTCCTTGGCTTTCTTGTCTGTTAGGTTAATTATTATTGAATATACTGAGTATCACATCGGGATCTTCTTCGTGGGCAATAGTCTTCTTTGTGCCTGGGTTCAAGAGCAAAAGACGCACACCCGAACCAGCACTCAGACATTTCACTCTATAGAGCGCCTGGAAAACTGCCACAGAGCTCACCGTCATATTCACACTGACGGCTTTGTTACGTCTACATCATCCGCCATTGGCATCTGGATTCCATCTGCCAATGTCACCATTTCTGCCACTCAGTCACTGCACCTAATCTACAGCCACTGAACAGGCTGCACTGCGGGCTGCCATTAATTGCATCATTGACCAGACAGCCGAGTCCTGGGTCATCTTCACTGACTCAAGAGCAGCGCTGCAGTCGCTGAGATATCCATGCACACAGGACCAACTTGTCACGGACATCAAACGCCTGTGCAAGAAAGCCTGTGACCTCCATAATCGCATTGTTCTGCAGTGGATACCTGCCCACTGCGGAATACAAGGCAACGTCCGGGCTGATGACGCTGCCAAAGCTGGGCATGACACTTCAGCAGAAATCGTCGAGATACCTTTCTCGAGGCGAGACGCAGCAACGCTAGTGCCGCACACGCCTGACGCCTCCAGCGGTGCCTCTGGACAGACCCTAAACTACAGTATGGGCCTCTGTACAAGATCGATCCATCGTGTGACTTCAGGATGCCACGAAATCTCAACAGGCAAGATGAAACGTGTTTACACCGCATCCGAATAAACGTTGCATATACGAATTACTTCAGGAACAAAATTGGACTGTCTGACTGAGCATTTTGTTCCCAATGTAACGTCGTTGAAGACATCAAGCATGTCCTCTGTGAGTGCACGATATACGCTCTGAAGATGGCCATAAAAATAAAACAAGACACAAACTTGGAGTTGAAAAATGTTCTAGGCCCATGGCAGAACAGCTCCAGTGCGTTAGACTCCACAAACGCGCTACTGACAATCTTACGGGCCTGAACGAAACGTTGTAAATGGTTCAGTGCTTGTGAGTGACTTTATGTGTTGTGTGACTGTTATGCGTGTATGTAACTGTATGTGTTGTGTGTTTATAATTGTATATATGACTGTCATCACCCGGCAACTGGAGTAGCCCGTCAGGTGAAAAAGCAGGCAAACCTCTACAGCTTCCCATTAAGATAATTCTCTCTATATATACACCTCGGCGGGGCGATGCGCTAGAAGTAACGGCTACATTAACAACAGCAAAAGTTCGTAGGGGCAGGTAAAACAGTGATGACATCCCTTGTCACGTTTTCGCCAAGGTATACACGCACAGCACATCACACAACCAGCTGTAACCATTTTGTCTTGAACACGCGCTGACAGCGGGAAAGAGAGAGATAAAATACATGACTCAGAGCTTTGCATTAAGCCACGCAAAGCTCGATACACAGGTCGGTCTCATGCTTACTTATTGCTGTGTCAAGGCAGAACTTCGCTTGAACTTGGCTATAGCGAGGTTGTAGCAAGATTGGTCTCCATCTTTGCCTTACCGTCCTCGGTTCTTCATCCGCAGTACTCGTCTTTGACAAGGACTGCGATGTTCTGATGATGGCTCAAACGCTTCGCAGCCATTCGTTGGGCTAACTATCGCATTCATATTTAATGGTCTGTTCGTGAGTAGAGGGATTCAGTTTGCGATACGTACCCGTTTATGATGTTGATAGTTTCGGGATTTGAGATTTGCTAAGTGCATGCCTTCTCCATTTTTTTTTTTGTGAACCAGTGGTCAGTAGAGAGGTTTATACTCGGCGACAAGTTTTCTTAGCACTGAAGCGAAGGCTGCAGGGC